AAAGGCAAGCAGTCTTTGAAAAGTGATGAAACATGACCCAGAGTCAAATAGTGATCCAAGTTAAACTTCAGAAAAGACAGGATTCATGGAAGAAAGCTCCTTGCCTTTCACCATATAAAATATGCTTTCCAGGTGTGATGGTAGACTTGTGAGAAGTTGATTCCCTAACTTTGGGAATCATAAGGATAACCAAATCTGGTAAGCCCATCTTTTTAGGACCAGCGACTGAGAAGCAGGGTGGTAAACTGGTTTTTTGGACAGAAAATGAGCCTGACAAGTAGGGGTTCTACTTTCCCCTGGGTTCAGTGCTATGCAGGAATGCCCTCCACCTGAATCCTGCAGAGCAGACAAGGAAGTAGTTTAAGAGGAGGAAAGGCATAGATCAGGATGAACTGATCCCTCAAAGTCAAAGCATTCACTGTCATAACTAGAGGATCCTTGGACCTGGAGAAAAACTTACTCAGCTTGTTGCTGAACCTAGGAGCCAGAAGGTTCAGGTCCAAAGTTCCCTACTTGTGACAGAGGTCTTCAAACACCTTCTGTGTCCAAACATTGTTGATTACATGACATTGTAGTCTGCATGCCAATTTTCTATATCTGGGATGAGCAACGAACAGTAAGTACCACTCAAGACAATATTCAACCATCTTCTCTTTGAGCAAGTGAGATGTGTTGAAATGTTTAAGGGTTAACTAAATCATCCATAGTCGAACAATGTTCATTGGGAGACAAGCTTCCTCTGGTGATGAAGTCCATTGCTCGTCAGCATCCATTGTTAGAATCTTTCAGACCAGTAAAAGGAAAAAAGGTTGGTTTCATGAGTTTGCAATGGACTGCAGTGGAATTGGGCATATGAAACTATCACAAAGAAAGCACCTGTGAAGCCTAGAATCCTCATGTAAAAGCAGAGGGCAGGAGTGCTACTGGACTGTATGGTCTGGCAGCACAAATTAGGAAATTTTCCTGGAAAAAAAAAACAAAAACTCTGGACACAGCAGTATCCATAAGAAGGTTTAGAGACTCCAGGGCAATGAGTCAAATCTAGCACAAACGTTTGGAGGTTCAGAATCGACCCAAACCTCTCCGGAGTTAGAACAGTTTACTGGACTGTCAGAATCTGTGCTAAATGTTCTCTCTTCGGGTCATCTAAGTATCCCACTAAGAGAATGCCACAAGAGAAATTCAAAGCAAGTACAGGGACAAGTGCCTTTTGGTACCTAAGGTGGAGTGGACAAACCAAAAGAAGAGCAACAAACTGCTAAAGTTGCATGCCCACCACAAAACACAGATGGTGTTCATGCAACAAAAAGTTTAAGACTTACCAGTAAATATTCTTGATGTGCTCAGAGGCCAGAAAGTCCATTTAGAGAGAACCTTTAGATCCAGTATGGGTGAATTTTCCCCTTTCACTTTGGGAATGGTGAACACGTTTGAGTAGAAATCCTGAAACCTTCCCTGCTACAGAACAATGACTATGACCCCTTGAGAGAGGAGCTGAGCCAGAACAATGCTGAGGTAGTGTTTGTGGAAATTTTTGCAAGTTTGGCAACATGAAGCAGAGTGGAGGCAGATTTTTAAATTCTGGTATGTGGCCCCTGGATACCGCTTTCTATACCCAAGTATCTTACACCAAAGTGGCTGAAAAGGCTAACGGACACCCCCTAATCTGATAAGTGGAGACTTTATCATTGTTAGAGTTTGTTTACAGGTTTGCAGAATTGGGAGTCCAAGACCTGGGGTGGAACTGCGTCTCAGGCTTGGCCTTGTAGGCTTGGGAAAAAAAATGAAAGGAACTCTTGTTAGACTCAGAGGTAGAGGGGTTCCCAGAGTAAGGCTTAGCCTTCATTTGCTGGGGTAAAAGGGTGCTCTCCCCTCCTGTGATGTCCTTGATAAAGTTGTCCCGGAATGTGCCAAAGATGTGTTCCCCATTCAAGAGCATACACAAAGGGTTTTTTACACTGATGTTCTGCAGACCAAAATTTCAGCCAAAGGATTCTCCTATGTGTATAGATATGGGTCAGCTAACATGGCTGAAATTTTCCCCATAAACTCAGACATAATTTCAGAAAATTCCTCTTTGGACAATAAAAAGGATGGAACCACAACTGAAGGAGATTAAAGAGGACTTCTAAGAGTTGTGTAGATTTGAGCAGTGGACATTGATCTGGCCTACTGGTGTAAAGTCCTTTAGGAGGTACACTGTAAGGTACCCCAGATCAGATAGTGAATCGCAAGTGGGAAAGGCCACCAAGACCTCTATTCTTGTGTTTATGATCGGCCATACATATAATACTGTACCTAATAATGGGTACTCACAAACCAACTGCTTAAGCAGGAAGGGTTAATATCCATCTGGTTATGTCTCATAGGCAGAGTGCGGAAGATACAGAGAAAGAGAGCGAGACTACAATAGCATATGTTATGACACACAGCAAGGCAGACTTAATGCCAAGATTGTGTTTTAGCCATGGTGAGTCCCAAACAGAAGTTTAAAATCATGTCATGTCACCAACACATATATGTGTCACAGCACAAAGGCAGTCTTCAAAGGGGATATGAGATTACACTGTCTAGGAATGACAGGCTCCTCATTTAGAAAGGATAAGCCCTGTTATTCACAAAGAGGCAGTCTGGATGGCCAAGATCTCAGGTAGGGCAGATTGCACATACCAAGCAGTCTTTTCCCCTCCTGCTGTCATATACCTAAAGAAGCATTCAGGAACAGGATTCCACTAGACTGTTGAAATGTAGCCCTGGACCTGTACAATACTCGCTAACCTACTTGCTACACAGTCTGGAGAGCACCACGGCAGAGCTTCCTCACAGTGGGATCTGGGTACAGTGGGATTATCGAAACCAGAAAGCTGCAGTGAGCTCTTCCAACTCTACAGAACTGGAGAATCTTGCTGAAATAAAATGAATAATGATAGAATGTAGGAAAAGTAAAGAATATGGTTTGCTTCTCTCTGAGAATAGATGTCTATTCTCACAAGATGTTAGTAAAAAACTGGAGCCTGATGAGAGTGGGAGAGGCAACAGCTGATGCCTTGCAGCTTTGCTTGCCAGTGTCCAGTCCCCTGTAGGGAGCAGCATTACTCATTTTCTCAGAATTACCTCTTTCGCATGGTGATGCCTGTTCAGTGACAAATCTGTAGGTTAGTGCTTAAAATAGAACTCCAGGCAGATTAAAAAGACAAAAATGAATGGAGCTCTGTGTTCATTAATACATAATTACATCTTTTTTTTTGCTAAATACAAGCAGTGTCAGGGCCTAAATTTTGTATCGGCTTCTTGGAGGCTACTGTACAGTTTGCATAGCATTGTTTAGAGAGGGGAAGGGAAAAGCCACAAAAGTCAACTAGATATGCTGCAGTGCAGAATTATGCTAAGATAAGGTTCACATTTGTGTGTTGCAGGAATTTTCTTGCAAAGCTCACTTTCTCACAAAGCACAAAAATGTGCATCCTTTTTTCAGGCACACAGTGGTACCATTAGAGCCTCAAGCACACTAGACATTTTAATGTGGATATTAGGGGCATCTGGTGGGTTTTTTTTCTGCCTCTAAACACCCCTGCATGTTAGCCTATATGTCCAAAAAAAAAACACAGCGAGCTTCTCTAGGAAATGAGGAGTCTTGGCATAAAAAACACTTGACATCTGTAAATGCCTGCAAACGCATCTAAATGCACGTTAAGTGCTTGAGCATTAATTAATTTCAGTGGCCAGAATAGATTATTATTCTGGCCAATGAAATTAATTAACGCCAAAGCACTTGATGTGCCTAAAGTTTTTTTTTTTTGCCAACCTGCTTCAGCCAGGAGGAAAGGCATCTAGGAGAAATCAGCAAAACATCCAGTGCGCATGAGGCCTGATTCTTTGTTCAGCTTCAATAGATAATTATCTGGCTACGCAACACATCCAGGAATCTGAATGACAAAACACAATTATAAGGTTTTCTGGATAAAATGTGGCATAAAGGCATTTTATCTCTCCATTTGGATGTCAGCTCAGAGCTCTGCTTTAGCACAAATACTATGTAAACAGTGAAAGTATACAATGGACAGGAAATATACAATTGTCTGTAGTTATGAGATAAAAATGACAACCTGAGCATTGCTAGTGATAAATCAGCAGATACAATCATAAAAACTTATTTGTTGTGCTTGTGTGCAGATCAGCATCAAGTGAGGTCATATAAAGTTCCATAATCAAAAATCCAGCGTAACAAGCCAACAGTTAAATTCCTTGTGTTTGACGGTTAACCTTCACTAAAGATACACAGAGCCTCTCATACCCTTGGAAAATGTTACCGTGACATTGTGAATGAGCCTGCATGCATATACATCAGTTTGTCACTTCATGTTAGTGACCTAGTCAATCAATCATGTAGCTGGGCCTCTTAATTCGTGGCCAGGCTTTCTACACTGTCACAAAGTTACAACAGTGGCAATAAAGCATGGGGGCAATAAAGACATACATTTATAAAACACCTTATAGCTAAAGTTGCCTTTTAAAGGAAGGCTGTTATGAGAGAAAAACCTGATTGTTTACCTCCTTCTAGTCACCCATCTGTTTTTGACTTAAAGTGATTCTAAACCAACAACAGTAAAATCAGTCTGTATATGCAGTAAAGCATGCTTGTTATACTCACTGTAGAACCTAAGGGGTTAATCCTTCGCATTGTGTAAAAAGGCTGTTTGATCCCGTCTCTCTGATCCGCCCCTTCTTCCATTGTGCACAATCCATCTACTGATAGTACAGGGCCATAGAAGACACTTTGTACATGCTCAGTTTGGTATGTATTGCAAGAGGAGGAGGAGTTTGTGTTTTTTTAGGGGGGGTGCATGTGATCAGCACATGGCCAATTAGCACTGTCCAGACAAAGGGTCAGGGGTCATGCAACCTCATAGGACAGTCAGAGGTGAATGAAAACTCCTCCTACATGATTAACCAGACACTGAAAGAAGTCTAAAGACTGCTATATACTGCTGACAGAAAAGGTATTTAGCAGTTTATATTTAGTATAATAATTGCATTTCAATGTTCTGTGTACTGTAGGATGTCAGATATAGTGAATGCAGGGTCCTGGGTTTACTAAGTCAGAAGTCAGACTTAAATCAGTACTGATCTGTAAACCTGTGTAGCTAGGCTACAGCAATATGGAGAAGACTTTGCTTTTTATTCTTCTCTACCTCTACTAAGATACTGATGGTATGCTGAATCAATATCCTCTGGCCAGCAGGGGAAGAGCTGAAGCCAAGCAACCCCATAGACTTCTGTGCAGAACACTGATAAACTTGGGAGTTGTAATTTCAGACAGCAGCTCCCAATAGGCACTGTGAAGTAGGAGGAGTGGAGAGATGATTTTTATTAAACTGCCTGGAAAAGCTCTTCCTCTGGGTGCCAAGGGAGTTAGAGAGAAAGCACCTCTGTCTGGATATTCACTTGCCAATGGGAGGCCATACCAATGGTGATCCAAGCCTGAGACTGGGAGTGAAGACACCAGGGGACAGTGCAGCACTGCCCACATCAGAGCACCTACACCACTGCCGCACGGAGACTGGAGCATCCACTCACCCTCTATTTCCCACCGATGATCACCGGAGGCTTTCGGGGAAAGACTGAGGGGGCCCCCTTACACAGTGAGTGGTCACCACAGCATCCCAGGGACTGATGAGAGGCCTTTTCACCCATTACTGGTACTGCTAGCAGGGACTGAGCCATTGAGGGCAGGACACCAAATATACCCAATCCATAACACACCTATACCAACTCTATACCACATTATACAGAACCTTTATCGCATCTGAACCACACGTACCTTGCACCTGTGCTAAGCCTATCATACCTATACTAAACCTCTACTGCATACAGGTTAACTGGAACTTTCGTTAAGTGCACCAATACTCTTAAAGGGCCCCAACGTTAGCTGGCAGAAGAACATCTTAAAGGACTGCTCCTCCCCTTTTTAATTATCCTGCAAGTCCCCTTTGTTCCCCTGCCCCCTCCTCTACCATTTTCCTTTTCTTTTTGACAGCACATACCCAGTCTGTCTAGGTCTAGCATTGCCACCATAAATGCGCTCTGGTAGCACAGTTCCAGGACTTTGTAGATTAAACTTTACCATTGCTCACGGCTGCATTTGGTGGCTTTGCAACTGTTTATGCTGATCAGGAAGCCTAATGTCATCTCATACTTAGTCCTTACTGTTGATGCTGAAAATGCTAAAATGTGTAATTATCATGGTTAATCCACTTTATGCTTGCCTAGTTACCAACCATATTGGGAGACAATATATTAACTACTTCCAGTCTGGGCAAATTCTGACATTCCTCTCTTGCATGTAAAAAAACTATTTTTTTGCTAGAAATTACTAAGAACCCCCAAACATAATTTTTTAAGCAGAGGCCCTAGGGAATACAATGGTGGGTGATGCATATTTTTAACTTGCACGATATTTATGCAGTAGCTTTTCAAATTGTTTGGAAAAAAAATACACTTTAATGAATTTTAATGCACAAAACCACAATATAAAACCCAATTATCTGGTAAAGTATAAAAGATGATGGTATGCCGAGTAAATGGATACCAAATTATCACTTTAAAACAGCGTCCGCCCGTGGAACAACGCTGCACCATGGTACCTAAAAATCACCATAGGTGATGCTTTAAAAGCCTTTACAAGGCTCTGACATTTGCGGTGATACATCACACATGCGGTGCGATTGCCGTTTGCATTTTATTACTTATGGGTTTGATCAGATGCTTGCTCAAGCCTGTAACGGCTTCTTTTACTTGAGACCAAAACTGGAAGTGACAAAATCATTGTTACATTCTGTTTCTGATGTCACACAGTGGGAAGAAAAACATCAGTTCCTCGTAATGTGGCCCAGGAACCAGATTCAGCTGGTTGCATCCTTACCAGGCTCCCTGATTCCATGGGAGAGCCTGATAACAGAGCAGGAGGGCGGTGGGACCCTCTTCCGCCAGATTCTTAGCCTCTATGATTCATTTTACTGTGAAGGGAATCACTGGCAGAAGAAAAATATATCTCAATCATTTCTGCAGCTGCAGCAATGACCGAGTTATCTCTCTTCCAATCCAGAGACGTACCAGTACGACGCTGGATGGGAAGCAATTATGTTTGCCTTTACTACCTGATTTGATGCCAGTTTTCTTTGATATACTTTGACTGCTAATGGGTACTAAGTATTACTTTCAGTGATTTCCTGTTATATTGCATGTTTGTACACTCAACTTTGTGTGTTAGAGGGGCGGAGGTTTTTGAAAAGGAAGAGGCAAAGAACAAAGGACCCATCTTAATCAAGGGCTCCTACAAGGGTAGTAGTACACTTGTTTGGGTCTGTGCCTTAAGATATTGAAGCCATAGGCTTAACATGAAAGCCAGACATAATGTTACAGGCTTCAACAATGGCAGACAGTCTATTTCTCTTATAACAGGCTTTTCCCAATACATTTAAAAATATGGGTTATATTTTCTGTTATGTTACTTTTCTGTATTTAGAACATGAGGTACTGTGATAAAAGGACTGGGACATACTTATTTGGCAATACTGGGTGTCACCTTGGAAGGAGCAGGGAGCAATATCACTGTTGATTACAGCAGAGTTTAGGGGGTAGTGCTGGGCTTCAGGACCATCAACTAACTGCTTTGTGTGAGATCATATGGTCTAACTTTCCTATGTCCCACCAGTGCAGAATATTTTAACCCTTGCTCCAGCACTTAATTGAAATAATCAAAGAGACCTATATTACTATGTATACAGTCTGCCTGCATTATGATAATAAAAAGCAAGTGTTCAAATTGATTTGATTAATGAATTGCTCCACAGTACCTGCAACTATAGAGGTAAATGCACCTTGTTCTAAGACCCATTTACTGCTTGCTAAGAATATATAAATACTTGTCTCTCCAGTGTAGGCAGGTAGCCATACACATTGACATTATTCCAAATGTTGGACACTGAGCATGTAACAACATGTGGTTGCAGTAGTGAACAATATCTTATCTGTAACTCTAACTACAGCAGCCATCCTGACTGTATAAGAGATGATGTTAGCTATTAAGCCAGGGAACAACCAATATAATTGTGCATACAGTCTCTTAATAGGTAATGGGACTGTGTTGTCAATTATCAATGTAATCATAACACAGGCAAACAGATACATAGTTCAAAATATATGTTGTTTTATTTTCATCCATTCATGTGGTATATAAAACAGTTATGAGTGCTCTTTGAATGTTGGCAAGCTGCTATAATGAACAAGAAGGGAGTTGTGCATGCATCAGGGTCCAGTGAGCATAACATCATCTGTTTAGAGAGATTTGTAGGGAAGTCTGCTTAAAAGGTAATAAAAAGGAGAAATATAGGGTCTTTAAACTAGTCGCAGAATATTGATTAGCACCATTAGCCATGAAATTCATCTAAGAATAACGCATCTGAGATATCACTGGAAAGCTAACACAGGGCGAGAACGATAGGAGGAAGAATAGGAATGAGGACAAGTTAAATTAATTTTGCTACTTTCTCTTGAATGTGATATTCTCAGACACCAAAATACTGTGAATGTTTTATTAAGGATATAATAAAATACATGTTTTGGAGGTAACAAAAGGAAACAGAGGGGCTCTTTATATTAAAGAAAAAATATACCCCTGTATAAAACATCTTTGCATATTAACATAAAGGAAACCAAATATCTTAGGGGTATTTGGCAGTAATTGTTTTGTTGAACATTCCATAATGCATTGCAAACAACTGCCACTGGCCAATGTCTTGCACCTGAGCTCTCTGAGGGCTCTCCCTCAACACTCCACTTCAGAGTTGAATGTCCAGGTTTGCAAGGCTTTAGGAGGCAAGTACATACCAAGCACCCCATCTGTCCCTGGGTATTTCCATGCATAAAAGGGATCACCTGCATAGGTGCTGGATATACACACATGGGATTAAAACACCCAGGGTTCCTAGTTTCTTCTCTAAGTGTAGGAGGTAGAGTTTGAGGAACTGACCCACCTGACCCAGGAACTAAACAGAGAAAAACTCCCCATACCTAGGGTCCAGTTGTTATCCATGCCAACATAGCAAGTGTATGATGTAAAGAATAGCTTGCTGGTCGATGTATGTGAAGCTGTATTGGTCTATGAGTGGCCCAGAGCTATAGTGTCCAATAAGTTCTCACTGGCAAGTTTTTTGTTTTGGAGTCCAGTACATAAAGTTAATTTGAGGGGTAGGTGCAGGTAGGAGGGTCTGTAGACCACAATTTAAAGTCAAGGCTCTCTGTCATATAAGGACTGAGATTTTCTCTCTAGGAGGTAACTGTGAAAAGGGTCAAAATGGGCCCTAAGATCTCAGATGTGTTGCCAAATCCAGGATAATTTGTGTCTAGTCCTAGACAGTCATTGACTAATTGTCTAAGAACAGATCTACTACCTGGCAAAGACTGTGCAGCAAATCTGACAACCAGTCTTCTCAACTTGTAGGTGAAAGGGGTAACCCATTGGTAGGTTACCCCTGTTGTACCAGAAGAGTTTGTAGGTCAGAAGAGTTTGTAACTAGAGATGAGCGAATCGAACCAGGCGAAGTGGAATTCGATTTGAATTTCAGGAAAAATTCGATTTGCGTCGAATCCGAATATTAGCCTACTTCGGGTGCGCGAATCGGATTTTTCCTGATCAGCCAGCAAAAGTGTCCCTGCAGAGAGCTCCGCTATTTCTGACAGTTCTCTGACAGTTCCTTCACATGTACAGCGGTTGAAACATTGTATCTATTTGTTTCCATTTAGGATACAGATGTTTTTATTCGGAAACAGATACAATGTTTCAACCGCTGTAAATGTGAAAGTCAGAGAACTGTCAGAAATTAGAGGAACTCTGCAGATACACTTTTGGAATTATTCTTATTTTCATCCTACTTCTTTTCTTCTTCATCCTCATCCTCAGAAGAAGAAGAAGAGGGATGAGGATGAGGATGAAGAAGAGTAGGATGAAATTAAGAAGAATTCCAAGCGGCAAAAAGTGTATCTGCAGAGCTCCTCTAAGTGTATCTGCAGAATAGAGGAGCTCTGCCAG